TAAGCAGGGGGAGTGGGAGAGGGAGAAGCAGGCTTCCCACTGAGCAGGGAGCCCAATATGCAGCTGGGATCATAACCTGAGTCGAAGGCAGATGCTTAATGACTGAGCCACCCAGGTGCCACTGTTTTAAAGATTTATTTAATTTATCTGAAAGAGTAAGTGAGCACTGAAGCAGGAGGAGGGGTGGAGGGAGACAGAATCCCAAGTAGACTCCCTGCTGAGCGTGAGCCCCAGGCAGGGCTCAATCTCATGACCCTGAGATCATGACCTGACCTGAAATCAAGAGTGGGACACTCAACAAACTGAGCCACCCAGGCACTCCAAATAAATATTTTATTTATTTTATTTTTTTAAAGATTTTATTTATTTATTTGAAAGACAGAGATCACAAGTAGGCAGAGAGACAGGCAGAGGGAGAGGAAAGGAAGCAGGCTCCCTCCTGAGCAGAGAGCCCGATGTGGGGCTCGATCCCAGGACCCCGGGATCATGACCTGAGCTGAAGGCAGAGGTTAACCCACTGAGCCACTCAGGCGCCCCAAATAAATATTTTAAAACAACAAAAGCAACAAGAAAAATTTCTCCAAATATAGCTCTACACCAACCAATTTATGAATCATTACATGAAGAATAAGATAGTCTTTCTTTGGTAGATTAAACCTCAGAAATCAAGTATGAACATACATATAAACAGTAGATTTTAAGACTCCAAATCACTCTGGTAGATATAAACTAGAAAGTTAACTCAAAGATGAAGGCAGATCTATAATGGCTAGAAGTGCTGGGGACCATTTTTTTAAAAAAAGATTTTATTTATTTATTTGACAGACAGAGATCATAAGTAGGCAGAGAGCCAGGCAGATAGAGAGAGGGGGAAGCTGACTCCCTGCTGAGCAGAGAGCCCGATTCGGGGCTCAATCCCAGGACCCTGAGGTCATGACCTGAGCCAAAGGCAGAGGCTTAACCCACTGAGCCACCAAGGTGCCCCAGTGTTGGGGACCATTTATTAGAAGTTGAGCTCCAAGTTAAATAACAGAACCAGAAAAGGTAAGAACCCTCATCATTAAAAGCAAAGATATGAAGCATTTCACAATATTGGAGACATTAAATGTTGCCATTTCTGTAGTTAAATACTGATTTAAAAAGACATGAACACACCTATGTCATGAAGGTACAAAAAGGATAAAGGATCTATATGTAATTTATAATGGCTCTGGATAATGTCCAGTGAGGGCCGAAAAAAGAAGTAATATAAAAGACATTTCCTAAAGGAACAGGAAATAAACAATAAACAGGAACTGAGGAGATATCAGAATCTTTTAGACAGGGCAAAAAGAAAGATATTTCTAAGAAGGGAGATCCATGTGATCAAATATAGCATCGAGGACTTCCCATTTCAATATGGTCAAATTTAACATCACTGTCTCCTCTCCTCTCTCTCTGCAAAAGTGAAGAAGAAAACAAAAAGACAATATATCTTGAACTAAAAGGTTGCTAAATGCCAATTCTAGAAAATAAAGAGCAAAGGATAGATTGGACCAGGTAGGAAAGAAACTCAAGAGATAGTGGCTGTTCTTCCTTATCTCAGACAGGAAACACAGTGAACAGAGTTCCCCCAAAATAGAAGGCACACTCTGTGGGCAGAATGAACTAGTTATTTTTTGCAACAGTGGGATCTAGATGTGTGGACACTGGTGGCAGGAACATGATAGCCTTCATCTGGCCCTGTCAAATCGTAGGGAAGACAGGGCTAAATAAGAAGATGCAAACAGCCATGATTCTTACATAAGGAGTCTGTTGGCATAGGAGAGTAGAAGGGACACTTCAGGCTGGAGGAGACATGTAACTGATAATGTTTGATTTGGAAGAAGTAAAGGGCAAACCAACTCTCAATACAAAACTCTTAATGCTAAAGTAGGTTGATATGAGTGACAAGGGCTTCCTATTCACTCAGAGCATTTTTCTGGCCAATTTTCAATACTCTCCTATAAATAGTTGGTCCAGCAAGAAGTAACCTCATTTAAAGATAAGTAGTGGTGATTATAAAAGGAATCTGCATAAGCTCTATGCAATAATGTTAACTAGAACCAAAAACCATGAATATACAAATCAAAATGAAAAACTGATAATCATTTGATCAATAGGACTCAAACATCCTAAAGCTTTAAAGAAAAAGAAACCTATGGGCATCCAAGGCAAACAAATCAAGTCACCTATGAGGGGAACCAATTGGATTTCAGAAGTCTCCAAGCAATATTCAAAGCCAGCAGACAGGAGAGGATTATCTAAAGTCTTCAGAGAACTGTCTACAAAGAAAATAGTCTAGAAAAAAAGTATGACTTAAGAATTTTATACACAGTCAAATAATAAAGGGTAAGAAAAAAATGTATTTTCTTACATGCAAAAACTGAGGGACTTTAGTTCCCACTAAATTTATAAGTTCCATGAGGACAGGACTTTGTTTTGTAGGGTGCTATATGTTCATGCCCCAAATAGTATTACCTTTATTGTTACAACTATAAATGTGGTTTTCTTTCCTTTATATCTTCTACTTGGTTGTTGAAGTATATATGAAACCTGCTGATTTTTATTTGTTAACTTAGTATCTTACCATCTCACTGGATTCTTTTACTGTTTGCTATACTTTTTCAGTTGATTCTCTTGTGTTTTTCAGGGATACAATTTTATCTTAAAATAAAGATGACTTTATAGATTTCTTTCCAAAGACAGAAACCAGTGCTGAAAGCACAAACAGAAAGTACAGTACTGATTTTTTTTCTGTTATCTAATACTTAGGTATAAACTTCAGAAATATACAAAAGCTATAAAGGGAAAACTTGGAAAGCATTTCTGAAGGATACAAAGTAGATTTGAAAGAAGACAGAGCAAGTTCTTTAATAGAAAATCTCAACATTCTAAAGATGTCAAATTTCCAAAAGTTGGGGCACCTGGGTGGCTCAGTGGCTTAAAGCCTCTGCCTTCAGCCCAGGTCATGATCCCAGGGTCCTGGGATTGAGCCCCACATCGGGCTCTCTGCTCAGTGGGGAGCCTGCTTCTCCCTCTCTCTCTGCCTGCCTCTCTGCCTACCCGTGATCTCTGTTAAAAAAAAAAAAAAATTCCAAAAGTTAATTTATGTATTTAATACATTCCCGATAAAAAGTCCAATAGGTTTTTCTCCGGAAATAGAGAGTTGTATCTAAAATTCATATGGTAGGGTTACCTGGGTGGCTCAGTGGGTTAAGCCTCTGACTTCAGCTCAGGTCATTATCTCAGAGTCCTGGGATCGAGCCCTGCATCGGGCTCTCTGCTCAACAGGGAGCCTGCTTCCCCTTCTCTCTCTGCCTACCTCTCTGCCTACTTGTGATATCTCTCTCCGTCAAATAAATAAATAAAACTCTTTAAAATTCATATGGTAAAATAATACTAATCAAAAAGAGCCAGCACAACTCTTGAGAAAGAAGTGTATGCAACTGGGAAAGAAAGGGACTTGGTGTCAAGGATAAGGCAGAGACTTACTTTTTTTTTTTTTTTTTTAAAGATTTTATTTATTTATTTGACACAGAGAGATCACAAGTAGACAGAGAGGCAGGCAGAGAGAGAGACGGAAGCAGGCTCCCTGCTGAGCAGAGAGCCTGATGCAGGATTAGATCCCAGGACCCTGAGATCATGACCTGAGCCAAAGGCAGCGGCTTAACCCACTGAGCCACCCAGGCGCCCCAGAGACTTACTTTTTAATGTAAGAGACTTACTTTTTAATGTGTCTTTTGGATTTTTTATGTTCTTTAACCAAGTGTGTGTGTGTACATATATATATGTATATATGTACATATATATATATTTTTTAGAGAGAGTGAGCAAGCAGGTGGGGGACGAGCAGAGGGAGAGGGAGAGAAAGAATCTCAAGCAGTCTCCACACCCAGCATGAAGCCCAACACAGGGCTTGATCTCATGACCCTGAGTTTATGGCCAGAGCCAAAATTAAGAGCCAGACGCTTAACGAACTGAGCCACCCAGGTGCCCTGAAGGACGCATATTTACATTAAAAAAAATAATTAATGTAATGCAAGGTGGGAATAAGTAGGAATAGGGCACCAATTTCTAATCCAGAAACTTAAAACTACATGGGATGTGAGGGTTGTGAAGTACAATGGAAAATGTGAGTACTGTTACAGAATACATGTTTATAGCTTTTCAAAATGGAAAGAAACTGAATGAAATCTAAGTGTGAAACAAATATACTTTTAAAATACTACACTTCTGGGCCCTGGGTGGCTCAGTTGGTTAAGCAACTGACTTCAGCTGAGGTCATGATCCAGAAGTCCCGGGATCGAGTCCCATATTGGGCTCCCAGCTCCATGGGGAGTCTGCTTCTCCCTCTGACTTTCTCCCCTCTCATGCTCTCTCTCAAATAAATAAATAAAATCTTAAAAAAAAGGGGGAGGGCACCTGGGTGGCTCAGTGGGTTAAATCCTCTGCGTTTGGCTCAGGTCATGATCCCAGGGTTCTGGGATTGAGTCCCGCATCAGGCCCTCTGCTCCTCGGGGAGCCTGCTTCCTCCTCTCTCTCTGCCTGCCTCTCTGCCTACTTGTGATCTCTGTCAAATAAATAAATAAAATATTAAAAACAAATACTGCACATCTGTGAAATATTGAATGCATAAGGAAATAAATCTAAAACTATGAGCACTAAGGAAAAAGAGAGATCATAGTGAAGGAAAATAATCTTGAAAGTAAGGTCATAAATGAGTTAGAGATGGCTGGCATCCTGAATTCAGTTGGGACTACCAATCCTTTAAAATCTGGAAAAGGAAGAAAACTCCAGTATAGGAAGTGGAATCTGGAAATATATCTGGAAACGTCACAGGAATCCAATCCATTTATACTATTTGTCAACCTAGAACACTAGGGCCTTTAAGAAAATCTTGGAAAATGTGAAATGGTATCAACCACATGAACTACTGTCATGTGGCTTTCTTATTCAGAGCTGCCTTTTTACTTATTCACCTGGACAGTGCCTTCCAAGCATTTCTTCCTCTACCACCCACGGTTCCTCTTCGTGCTCCAACTTGAAGATCACATCTGGTTTGGTGACTTGATAACCTATTACAGGAAACAGCAAAAGACTTGGATGTTAATGCTGGGGACCACCATCCATACCTTGGGCTGAGTCTTAGGGGCTTGAGGGCCTATGAAAGATGAGGACAAAGGAATTTCAAAAGTGAGACAAAGTAATCAAGCTTTACCCTGAAGAGGAGTACACACAATCATGTGAAGTCAAGGAAGGGTAAATTCACCTGGCAAGTTAAAAGTCTTCACACACTTCGAAATGGAAAGGAATTCCATGAAAAATTATAAAACTACCCTTACCCACTGTGACTAGGTTGCTGTAGTTCTCTAGCATTACATCCCGATACAAGTTCCTTTGAGCAGGTTTCATTTGCTGCCATTCCTCCTGGGTGAGGTCCACAGCAACATCCTTAAATGTCACTGTTTCCTGTAAAAACCAATCCTAATTAATATGAAGTTACCAAACTTCAATGCAGTGGTGAAAGTATGTAAGAACTCATGTACATCATGAACTTAGGGATCAGAGTTCATTACAAACTATATATGAAGTCTTCATATTTACCTAATCTTATTTTACAGTGTGAGGGAAAACAAACCATAATAGAAATATCCTGTAAGATGTTGATTTTTTGAGTTAGCAAACTTAAACATTCTTCATCTATTATGCAGGAAAACTAAAGATAGTGGTCACTGATAAATTTGTACTGGTCTGTGACAGAACTGAAAGAGTTAGACAGGACTCGCAGGTAACTGTCTCAGAACCTGTCCAAATGAAAATGTGACCCAGTGAGAAGGGGGACATGGAGAAAATGGGGATGGAAGAGAAATAAGGCAGGAGGAATGAGGAGAGGTATGAAAATCTGAATATCCTGGGGGCCTTGGTGGCTCAGTTGGTTGAGCATCTGCCTTTGGCTCAGGTCATGATCCTAGTCCTGGGATTGAGTCCTGCATCGGGCTCCCTGTTCCGTAGAAAGCCTGCTTCTCCCTCTGCCTCTACCTCTCTCTGTCTGTCATGAATAAAAGAAAAAAAATCTTAAAAAAAGGAAAATCTGAATATGCAAAATTTGAAATTCCTATAGAACTTCTGGATGGAAATGTCCACTATGTAGTTAGAGGTATAAAGAAAGATGAGAATTAGTCATCAACCTAAAATTGAGAGCTGAATCCCTGGCTAAAGGATAGGAATAGTTGTAGAGAACATACATAGTGGGTAAAGGTCCAAGGACGGAATCATAGTTAGGCATCAGGGAAACGGGCTCAGGTTTTTGTTTCTTATTTGTTTTATTTACAGAGGATGAGAATTAAAACCATGACAGCAATGTAACAAAAGTCAAGAAACTAATAAATTTCTGGAAAAGAACGTTACTTGATCACATATATCCAACTCTTCCCCCCACTTAAAAACTTCAATATTGGGGCGCCTGGGTGGCTCAGTGGGTTAAGCCTCTGCCTTCAGCTCAGGTCATGATCTCAGGATCCTGGGATCGAGACCACATCGGGCTCTCTGCTCAGCGGGGAGCCTGCTTCCCCCCTCTCTCTCTGCCTGCCTCTCTGCCTACTTGTGATCTCTATCAAATAAATAAATAAAATCTTAAAAAAAAAACCAACAAAACTTCAATATTCATGTTAGGAAGTAAGGAAAAATTATTTATCTGTAAAGGCTCTAAGATAAAAAAGCACCCTATATCCCACATTTGGGAGAATTTATTCAAGAAACAGTACTGATAAGATAAGCAAAATGGGAAATACAAATGAAAATCACCAAACGCTTGATTGCAATTAGTGTTTCTTTTTTTTTAAAGATTTTATTTATTTATTAAAGAGAGAGTGCATGTGTGCACATGAGCTGGAGGAGGGGCAGAAGGAGAAGCAGACTTCCTACTGAGCAGGGAGCCTGACATGGGGCTCCATCCCAGGGCCCTGGGATCATAACTTGAGCCAAAGTCAGACCTTAATTGACTGAGGCATGCAGGCACCCCTGTAATTTTTGTTTCTGAGGCACTGTCTCTATTATCTATGATCATTACTACCATCATCATTACCATCACTCTCATCTATTGAGTAGTTATTATATACTAGGTAATATAATAATTTCTTTAGGTATATTAACTACTAAAATAACCTGAAAAGGTTATGCAATGGCTACTATTATCCATTTACAAAATGAGGAGGGGCACCTAGCTGGCTCAGTTGGTAAAGCGTGTGACTCTTAACAGGACAAATTTTTTTTTTTTTAGTAACATTTATAGTAAGAGCATAAAGGCAATTACATGTCAGTTCTGCAGTATATATATATATATATATATATATATATATATGCCAACTTTTTCTAAGAAAGGATTTTTTCTTAAAGATATATAAATATTAAATATGCCTTTAAAATTTGGAATATGACACATTTTTTTCTTGGATATTTTTTTTTTAAAGATTTTATTTATTTATTTGAAACAGAGAGAGATCACAAGTATGCAGAGAGGCAGGCATAGAGAAAGAGGAGAAAGCAGGCTCCCCGCTGAGCAGAGAGCCCGAAGCGGGCCTCGATCCCAGGACCCTGAGATCATGACCCGAGCTGAAGGCAGAGGCTCAACCCACTGAGCCACCCAGGCGCCCTCTTGGATATTTTATATTCTTATTTTTCAAATATATTCTAGACTCAGCTTGAATAGACTTGCCTTATTCTAAGAAAAATACTTAGAATCCTTTTTTTTTTTTTTATAATTTTATTTTTTATAAACATATATATATATATTTTTTTTCCCCCAGGGGTACAGGTCTGTGAATCTCCACGTTTACAAACTTCACAGCACTCACCATAGCACATACCCTACCCAATGTCCATAACCCCCCCCAACCCCCCTCTGCCCAGCAACCCTCAGTTTGTTTTGTGAGATTAAGAGTCACTTATGGTTTGTCTCCCTCCCAATCCCAACTTGTTTCATTTACTCTTCTCCTACCACATTAACCCCCCATGTTGCATCTCCTCTCCCTCATATCAGGGAGATCATATGATAGTTGTCTTTCTCCGATTGACTTATCTTAGAATCCTTTTTTAAAGATTTATTTATTTGAGAGAGAGACAGAGTGTGAGTGGGAGGAGGGGCAGAGGGAAAAGGAAAGGGAGAGACTCTCAAGCAGACTCTCCACTACTGAGTGAGTTGCTGGGGTTGATCTCAGGACCCTGAGATAATGACCTGAGTTAAAACTTAACCAACTGAGCCACCCAGGTGCCCCAAAATATTCAGAATCTTTATTCAGATAAGTCTGAAGATTAACTTAAAAAGAAGTTATAGGGCGCCTGGGTGGCTCAGTGGGTTAAGCCTCTGCCTTCGGCTCAGGTCATGATCTCAGGGTCCTGGGATCGAGTCCTACATCGGGCTCCCTGTTTGGCAGGGAGCCTGCTTCCTCCTCTCTCTCTCTCTCTCTGCCTGCCTCTCTGCCTACTTGTGATCTCTCTCTGTCAAATAAATAAATAAAATCTTAAAAAAAAAAAGAAGTTGTATTAGTTTAATAATGATAGATCCTATCCAAAAAGGATGTTTTAAAAATGTACTTAAATCCTCTTTCAGGCCACATCAATATCTTAGAAGTTTTTTTTCTCCCATACACATCAGATAATTTTTTTCTTTATGGTTTCGAGTCTACTCTTACCATCTTCCATTTTATTTTTCAGCTGATTGTGGTTTATATAGAGAATGCTATTGGTTTTTATGTAAGTTAATTTTGTGTAAATAAATTTTGTTTAAAAAATCCATATTGGATTCAGTCATTATTTTTCTTCAGCTGCCCACATTTATAACTATATTATCTAGCTATCATAATTTTGCATGCACCTTCCCAATTTTTATCCCCCATTATTCTCTCTTTGTTGTATGCCTAGGGACACAGAATTATAGTAAATAAATATGGTAGTATTGGCAATCTGGTTGTGTTGGTGGGAATGCATCTCATTTTCCCTAGTAAACATGGTGTTGGCTCTTAGCTTATTATGTGTGGAAAAATTAATAATATCATATTAAAGTGTCCTTTTACTCCTATTAAAGAGATTCTTTTAAATTCTGAAGTTCTGATTTTTTAAAAAATTAGCAGCTCTATGAAGCTGATTATCTTTTTTCTTTAATATGATGAATTATATTAATAGATTCCCTTAACTTGAAACATCAAGAAAAAAATTTCACTCAATTCTTCTCTAATTAGTCTGTAAATTCTTTGCAATGCCAGTTAAAATGTGAACAGAATTTTTATTCCTTTAGAACCAGATAAATTGATTCTAAAATTCAAATAGAAATTTAGGGGGTCCCAAGATAGCTAAGAAATTTCTGAAAGACTAGGAACTAGTTGTGTGTGGCGGAAGTGGGGAAATCCTTGCCTAAGCAACAGGGTTATTTTAAAGGTACAGTAATTAAAACATTGTAAACACACACACATACACACACAGAGTACAGTACTGGTATAGATATAGACAAATAGACTAAAGGAACAGAATAAAGAGCCTAGAAACAATTAAGCATGCACATCATAAATGTGGCATCACAAAAGAAATATCTATTTAACAAAAGTGTTGGAACAACTGGTCTTCTACATGTACAAATAATTCTAGTGATAGAATCATCAGTAAATTCCTACCTGAAATCCATTACAACATTAAATTCCAATTGGACTAAAGATGAAATATGAAAAAATTTTGAAAATAGACTATCTATATAACCTAACATGAAAGATGTCTTAGAAAAGACTACCATTGGCAACTTATGAAAAGGACGATTAAATACTGATGCTGTATGTTAATGTTGACTAAATTCTTATTGTATGCATATATGAATAAGCTAAATGTAACTATCCAAATTTAAAGTGTCTATACAGGGGCACCTGGGTGGCTCAGTGGGTTAAGCTGCTGCCTTCGGCTCAGGTCATGATCTCAGGGTCCTGGGATCAAGTCCCGCATCGGGCTCTCTGCTCAGCAGGGAGCCTGCTTCTCTTTCTCTCTCTCTCTCTCTCTGCCTGCCTCTCTGTCTACTTGTGATCTCTCTGTCAAATAAATAAATAAAATCTTTAAAAAAAATAAATAAAGTGTCTATACAACAAAAGATACATATCAACATAAAAGTGGCAGATTAGGAAAAGGTATCTATATAAATCCTAATGCTAAAGAAGGCATTTTTTTTTTTTTTTAAGATTTTATTTATTTACTTGACAGAGAGAGACAGAGAGAGAGAGGGAACACAAGCAGGGGGAGTGGAAGAGGGAAAGCAGGCTTCCCACCGAGCAGGGAGCCCAATGTTGGGCTCAATCCCAGGACTCCGGGATCATGACATGAGCCGAAGGCAGACGCTCAATGACTGAACCACCCAGGTGTCCTAAAGAAGGCATTTTTAAAATTCCCTAATTTCAAGTAGAAAAAGGACTAAAATCTCAACTGAAGAAAATATATATGCAGGCTCATTTGAAAGACATGTTCCATTTACTCTTCCAGATAATTTTAGTTTTTAATCTTTGGCCAGGACAGACTTTTTTAAAAAACTGAGCTTAAAATTATAAGAATTATGGAATTATTTCAGCATTTCTTTTTGACCTAGAGGCCAATGAGAAGCCTTCTCTTTCCAGGGGCACCTGGCTGGCTCAGTCGGTACAGCATGCAATTCTTGACCTTGGGATTGTTAAGTTTGAGCCCCATGTTGGGTATAATAATTATTTTTTTAAAAAATCTTTGAGAAGTTTTCTCTTTCCTTAATTATTAGTTTTTCCCTCATAAACAGTATAAATTATGGCATAAACTTTGTGTTCCAGTTTGCTTTGACATTCAAATTGAAATCAACATAAGAACTTTGTATTGACCTGTTCCTGCATAGCCACATCCCAAATTTCACCTGGTTCTGCTACTCTATTTTCCCTCACCTTAATTTTCATCAATTTAGTTTTTCCAATTTACTGGTAGGTTAAGGTAACCCACTGCAACTGCATTGCAAAATAATGCAGGAAACAAATAAATATGCTTAAAACGTACAAGAGACCTGGTCATATTCTCTTCTTCCTCCAAAAGGGCAGAGTCCTGAGGATGCCAAGCTGAGGGAAGAGAAATAAAGCAGATTTATTTCAGAGCTCCAGACAAAGGCATATAGAAATCTTCAGTAGCAGGTGGCTATAATATTATCTACAATGATACTTAGAGCACTGATAAATGCTAACCACCATCAGGCAATAGAGATGCTGAAATGTACATGAAAGACTAATGTTACCATACAGGATTGGATGGGAATTTCTGGAGGACTAAGTATAGGGTGCCCAATGAATCTACTGACAATATAAGCTTTCCCTAGGATCCTGGTATTTTATTCTTAATAGAAAGTTTATCTCAAGTACATAATAATAAATACCACAAAGATTAAGAATAATACAGTTTATAAAGCACTGTAAAAATATGGAAAAAACTTTAATCAAGTATAGGTTTAGGCATTGTAAACCACTTATATGATGGAATAAAATGAAGTCATGATTCTAATGACATTTTCGAGCAACTGTTTTTTGATCTAAAAAATTCAGGGCCTTCAGGTAAAAAATGTAAGAATGAATATTTGCATTTACTTCTCTCTCCCAAACCCAACCAAAATGAAAGGAACAAAGGAAGCTGAGTCTCATAGAGAATATAGAAGACTTCAGCAGATAAGAGATGTCAACAAAATTTTGGAAGCTAGAGATTAGACAGATGGCTGTTATCTAATTTAACTAGAGAAACCTGAAACTTAAGTGAGGGTGGGGGAATGGGGGGGGAAACATGGCAGAACCCTTGAAAGGCTTAGGAATGGAGGCTCTAAATACTTCTGCAGGCAGGAGTGTGGGATAGGAACCGAATATAAGGGGTTGGAACAATGTAGAGAAAATAAGGGAATTAAGTGAAAGTTGTAATACTGAAAGATGAGGTATGTCCCCCCCACAGTCCCCTACTTCCTACTGTGTTTGCCTTCCAAAAGCAGTTCTGGTTTATACTTCTCAAGCAAAATCTAGGATTTCTTGCTGGGGAAACTGACTAGCGCCACCCCCTCCCCCCAAACAGATACAGATCCTGACATTTAGTCAACTTTCAACCACTAATAAAACACCATATTAGAAAGAAGGGCAAGAAGGTGGGTTGGGGAAGGGTGGGGTGAGGGAGACAAGAAAGAGGTTAGGTAGAAAACAGAGATAAATCCTTATCTCCATTGTCAAAAATGTCAGCAGGAAAAATCAAGCATGAATGAGCAGTATGAGGATATTCAGGGAAGTGGAGCTGAATACCAAAATGTTCAAAATGGTTGCCTCTGGGGAGTTGGATCAGGGGATGAGGAAGGATAGAGTAGGAGATTTTGTTTATGGTTATATACTTAATAGCCCTTTAAAAAAATCTAAATGTAAGAAAAACAGAAATTTCAAACAATAGTCAAGTGAATAAACAAAAAAACAAATGTCTACCCTGCAGTCAGTAACACCCATGTGAACTTTCTTGGTAGGGGTACTGAATTTCCTAACCCCTAAATGTACAGCTTCTCTCTCCTAAACTTTCCCCATCTCTGAGCCACCTTACCTCTCCTTTCCATCATTTGGGTTAAACGCTCCATTGTCACACAGCTTTTGCTGATCTCTGAAGGCTGAGAGGTCATTCAGGCCTTGCCCACCAAGGGCAGAAAGGTTAAGGTAAGCTGTAGATACAGCAATTCCAGGGTCTGCTCTATCTCAGGCTTCTCCAGCCTCCAGGAGAGTTCTCAGGTCAGAAGGTCTCCTTCCATGATGGACACCTGCTCTCCAGATCTCCACCACAGATCTTTCTTATCTCCGTGGAAGCAGGACCTGTGGGCTTATCATATAAATTCAATTTACTTGATGTTTCCTCACTAGATCTCTAAGGTAACCAGCCTCTAAGATGGCTTCCAATGATCACTGCCTTATGGTATTCATGGTTTTTTTATACACCCCTCCCACACTAAATAGAGTTGTCCTATTTAACCAATAGGATACTGCAAAAAAATGACAGTGTGTGACTTCCAAAGTTAGGTCATGAAAGACATGGTGGTTTCTGTATTGCGTATTTTTGAATCATGAACATTGAAGGAAGTCGGCCACCATACGATGAAGACATTCAACCAGGCCTGGGGAGAGGCTCCTGCCAGCAGCCAACACTAACTTGCCAGCCATTTAGGAGGCAAATCCTCCAGCCATCTAGCCTTCCAATGACTGTAGCTTTGTTAACATCTTGACTGCAACTTCACAAAATATATGAGCCAGAGTATCCAGCTAAGTTGTTCCCCAACCCCCATAGAGTGCGAGATAATAAATGTTTATTGTTGTTTAAACTACTGAATTTTGAGGTAATTTGTTACACAATAGTAGATAATTAATACAGTCCCAATTAGTTTCCTTGCTTGTAATTCACATTCCCTGGAGTCACTGCCCAGAGATGCTGGATACAAAGACAGCAAGAATTTAGAGGAAAACTCAAAGACTCAGCACCTTAGGTTGAACCAGGCATTCAAGAAAACACCAAGACTCTAGAAACAAGGTAAACACAATAGTGATGTTCACATAATATCTGCTCTTCAAATATCTTCTGTGAGAATAAAGGTGTAGACCCAGTGCAGTCACAGATACAAAGTTGAGTCAAAAAAGATTCATATTGGGGCGCCCGGGTGGCTCAGTGGGTTAAAGCCTCTGCCTTCAGCTCGGGTCGTGATCCCAGAGTTCTGGGATCAAGCCCCGAGTCGGGTTCTCTGCGCGGCAGGGAGCCTGCTTCTCTTCCTTTCTCTGTGCCTGCCTCTCTGCTTCCTTGCGATCTCTGTCAAATAAATAAATAAAACCTTAAAAAAAAAAAGATTCATATTTACAACATCCCTAGGTTTGGAGTAAAAGAGAGTTGCAGCTATTCTGTTGCCTATTTATCTTTGGCAATTGAGGTAAAAGACATGTGCAACTTAGAATTCCCATACTCTTCATCTGAAATGAGAATTATACTCACATCACAATGATACTGGATGAATAAAATGGTTAAGTTAGGAAATATTAATTTTTCATCTGCTTTGAGTCTTTACTAGGTAAAAAAATAATTATACAAGAGAGTAGACTAATTCTTGCACTGTATGATAGAACAGAATAAGACAGAAACATTCAATTGTAATAAATTTTGAAATATTCCTAATATCCTTCATACAAGTTCCATTTTTTTCCTCTGTGGAAATTATCACAAATTATATAATTTATTTACCATTCATATTGTCTGTGTAACCCCTCATATAAACTCCATGAAAACAGGGATTTCTTAAATCTTAGTCATTGATGGTAGGTGCTCAAAAAAATATGTTGATTTAAATGGTGTAGCCACTATGGAAAACAGTATAGCAGTCAAAAGATGAAAAACAGAATTACCATACGATCCAAAAATTCCACTTCTGGGTACATACCCAAAAGAACTGAAAGCAGGGGCTTGAACAAATTTGTACACCTATGTTCATAGCAGCATTATCTGCAATAGTCAAAAGGTAGAAGCAACCCAAGTATGCACTGACAGATGAACAGATAAACAAAATGAGGTGTGTATATATAATGGAGTATTATTTAGCCTAAAAAAGGAAGGAAATTCTGACATGTGCTTTAACATGGATAAACCTTGAAGACCTTATGCGAAGTTAAATAAATCAATCACAAAAAACCCAATACTGCATGATCCAACTCATATGAGGTATGTAGAGTAGTCAAATTCATATAGAAAGAAAAATAGAATGGAAGTTGCTGGGACTAGGAGATCCAAGGAATGGGGAATTATTGTTTAATGGGTACAAAGTTTCTGTTTTGCAAGATGAAAAGAGTTCTATGGACAGATGGTAGTGACAGTGGTACAGCAATATGAATGTAATGCCATTGAACTCTACGCTTACAAATAATTAAAATGTTAAATGTTTTTAGTTTTATCAATATATAATTAAGGTACAAAAGATCACACACATTTAATGTATACATCCTGATGAGTTTGGACATATGTATATATTCATGATACCAGTTCCATAACCAAGGTATTAAACATATCCATCACCTCCAAAAATTTCCTTGTGTTCTTTTGTGTTTTGTTTCTATGGTAAGAACAATTAACACAATATATATACTCTTAGTAAAGTGCATAATACTCTATTATTAATACAAGTTCTGTGTTGTACAGATCTCTAGAACTTATTCATCGTGCATAGTGTAAACTTTGTACCCATGGAAAAATAATTCCCCATTTCCCTCTACTCCTAGGCTCTGGCAACCATTATTGTATTCTTATGCTTCTTGAATTTATTTTAGATATATCATACAAATTGAATCATGTAGTATTTGGTCTGTGACTAGCTTATTTCACATAGCATAATGTTCTTCAGGTTTACCAGGCTGTCACAAATGGCAGGCATTCCTTCTTTGACTAATATTCCATTGTATGTATATACCACTTTCTCTTTATCCATTCATCTATTGATGAATGTTTCCCTATTTTGACTATTGTAAATAGTCAATGAAAATGGGGGTGCAGATATTAAGATGGTAAATTTTATCTTCTGTGTTATGTAATCTCTATTTGATCACTATTAAAAAATACATATACATATATACACATCAGTATAAAAAGACATATATACACATTTATGTACAAAAGATGCATATATACATACCTAAACAAATGAATTCTACTAATTTGGGGAATTTAAAATCAGAGTTAAATAATATATTAGACAAGAATACCACCGAAATAGGTGGGTAGTTTGGAGTTCAAGTGTTCCAGAGTCTTAAGGTGGGGTTTTGTTAAGTATGCATGTTAAAAATTCAAGGAAAACAACAGAAACCAAAGCAGTGGAGAAAGAAAGGGGAATAAGCTAAATCTACACAATAAAAAAGCCACAAGTAAATAGAAAACAAATTTGTATCAGCAATCCCAATAAATGTAAATGAATCAAACTCACCTATTAAAATAACATTCAAGCAGGATAAGGGGGTAAAAAGCTCAGCAATATACTCTTTACCAGAGACCTGAAGTATAAAATCATAAAAAGAAGGGGTTGGAAAATGAAATTCCTGGATAATACGATAACAAGACCCGAAAAGGAATATTATCGGACAAGAGAACTATCAGTATACTGAGGAGCAGAGGTTTTTAAGACTGTACAGTCTGTCTTGTGCTCTGTTGATCCATGATGAGAATAGGTCCTGGCACTGTCCTCTTAGTGTGAGCAGCAGAAAGAACACATGTGGAGGAGCAGATCTAAAACCACCCTACAGTCTAGCTACTCAGTCAGCCCCAGCCTAAATAGGCTGAACAGAGAACCAGGAAACAGGTGAACATGAGAATAAATGCTTGCTGTTATATGCCGCTGATTTAGGGGTGGTTTGTTAGGCAGCATTACTATTCTGGCAATAGCTAGGTAATACATATGATAAAAGATGCGGGTCATATGATGTTGAGATGCTGACTCTGGAAAAGATCAACAGGAAAACTGGAAAACAACAGAAGAGAACCAAGAACTTCCAGGGGTAAAAAAAGGAAGCAAAGGAGACTAAGGGGTGGCCAAAGGGCAGGGAGGACGACTTAAAACCAAACACAAAATTTTACACAGATCTTTTTCCATGCAGTTATCAAGTATGACAAACACTATACAGAAGTCAACTCAAGACAAGAACCGCTACACATACTACAAACACCTACCCACAGACCTTTCACGACAACCAAACACTATACAACCACACGCAACTAAATTATCACCATAACTCAACACACCGCAATCACACATCCTATCACAATTAGTCGGTCACACTCACATGCAATTACACACATCACTGCAGTCACACACACACTGACTCCCACCACAGTTTCTCGGTCCAACAATTCCAACCACTCTCCAGGAGCGTATTCCCACCCTGGGCACTTTGCAAGGCGGCCACTCCAGACTCGTTGGGCCTCCTCAGAGGCTCCGCCCCGTCAGCTGCGCCGCGGTGCAGCCCAGACAACTCAAGCCCCTCCCCCATGCCCCGCTGCTGGGACGCGGTAGCGTCACCTGCCGGAAACGCCCGAATGCGCATTCAGCGCGCGGTTTCTGGGAGGATGGGTGAAGGCGACCCACAGAAAGACCCAAGCCAGGGGCCTGTAACGCCGAACCATCCCTTCGTGCCCGCCTCCCAACGGACGTTCCTGAGGACAACAACACCTCCCAGAAGGCTTCGCGGCCCGATTCAACTTCCGGCCAGAAAGCTGTCTGCGTTTCCTGTGTGAGGAGGAGGCACCGTAACTCCTGCGCCGAAGGCCGGGCTGGAAGGTGCAAACCTACCGTGCCGCGCAACCCTGAGACCTGGCTAGACGCTGAGAATTGCAGTTACAGTCGTTGAGGGAGGGTCCAGGCAGGGCGCTGAGAGGAACTGGCCGCGGGTGCGTCTCTGGACCACATTTCCCAGAGGGCCCGGTGGGCCGGTCGCTCTTCTCGCAAGAACGCGAACGTTTCGTCACGCCTGGCGGGACCGTTAGATCGGTGAAGTGAGAGTCGGTGGGTCGCGGAGGACTCGAAAGGCGTAGTAAATTGAGGAGCCCGGAGATAGGTACCGAGGTGGGTCATCCGGCCTGTATCGTGCGGGTGGAGCGGCCTGTAAAGGGGATTGTGTGTGTGAGAGATTGAGACCTGTGTGCGGTTATCGGTTGCCTATCATTGTGGGGTTGTGATTGCATGTGTCCCGATGGCGGTTGTGACCCCGAGACACTGTTGGGGGGGGTACCTAAGGCTGTAGGAGAGTAACAGTGTTCGGTGGCGGGTATGTGATTGTAACCGTGTTACCATGGGTAGCTCTGTGTGCGCGCGTGTGGAGGGCTTGTCGAATTGGTTTCAGTATGTCCGTGCTCAGGTTATGGGGCACTGTGTGTTAGGGTATGGGGTTCCTGTCATATGTAAGATTGTAACTCCAGAACTTTGTCCCCAGGGAACTTCTGTGAAGTTTGGTCAGGTTATAGCCCTTCGGCAGCGATGGCTTCAGCTTTTTCCTGACACACGGATTAGGCAGAATGCTCCATTCTCTGATCTCCATTCCCTGCGTGTGGTGGGGGCTGGGGCTGTGACTGGAGGTGACTTCTGACCAGACCAGTTTGGGGAAAAAAGGAAAACATGGTGTTTTGCAATTACCTTTTCCTCTCCCCAGTTCCACCCTTCTCCAGGTGCAGAAGAGAAGAATGCACAATGAATTTCTACAAGCAATGTCCAAGGTGTGTTGGGGTTTTCTCTTGCTTGCTTTCTTCTGAAAGTTAAATGCTTCATAAAGATATGTCATCTAATTGTAGATCCTTATAATTTCCCTTTTAAAGGGAAGGATGGTCCAGCCTGGTTTTAAAGCCCAACAGCACACCTATACGTATTGTTCACTTATTTGGAAAATGGCTCCACTTCTGTTTGTTTTCTTCTTTTTAAATGCAATATTATGATTTAAATGCAATTGTTGTGATATTAATATAAAAACATGGGGTGCCTGGGTGGCTCAGTTGGTTAAGGGACTGACTCTTGATCTGGGTTCAGGTCTTGATCTCCGGGTCCTAAGTTCAAGCCCCACACTGGGCTCTGTGCTGGGCATGGAGCCTACTAAAATAAAATAAAGTAAAATAGGGGCACCTGGGTGGCTCAGTGGGTTAAGCCTCTGCCTTCAGCTCAGGTCATTATCTCAGGGTCCTGGGATAGAGCCCCACATCGGACTCTCTGCTCAGCAGGGAGCCTGCTTCCCCCTCTCTCTGCCTGCTTATCTGACTACTTGTGATCTCTGTCTCTGTCAAATAAATAAATAAAATCTTAAAAAAAAATAAAGTAAAATAAACAATAAAATAAAATAATACATAACATAATGCAACACATAACACAACATAGCACATAACAGCATACAACATATAACACGTAACATAACACAACATGACTGTCACTTAGAGATTTTAAAAACAGAATTACCAAGAAAAAATAAAATGTGATCACTCAAATATCTAATGTTAATATTTTGATTTTCTATTTATTTATTTATTTATTTTTTAAAGATTTTATTTATTTATTTGTCAGAGAGAGAGGGAGAGAGAGCGAGCACAGGCAGACAGAATGGCAGGCAGAGGCAGAGAGAGAAGCAGGCTCTGTGATGAGCAAGGAGGCCTACCTGGGACTCGATCCCAGGATGCTGGGATCATGACCTGAGCCGAAGGCAGCTGCTTAACCAACTGAGCCACCCAGGCGTCCCAATATTTTGATTTTTTAAAAAGATTTTATTTATTTGAGAGACAGAGTGAAAGAGAGAGAGGGAGAGAGAGAGCACATAAGCAGGGGCAGAGGGAGAGGGAGAAGCAGGTTTCCTGCTGAGCAAGGAACCAGATGTGGGGCTCAATCCCAGGACATGGGATTATGACCTGAGTAGACGTTTAACTGACTGAGCCACCCAGGTGCCCCTTAATTAATTTTTATTATTTTTCCAAAATCAAATTATACTTATTTACTATATTATATCCTACATTTTCACTAGAAAGTATTATTCTCCTGTGTTGTCAAATGGTCTTTGTAAATACCATTTTTTAAAGATACATATTTCTTTGTGAGTTATGTTCTCTCCCTTTCTTCATGTCAGTATGTCCGACTTTGAAATCTTTATTTATTTGCTTATAAATAACACACATACACCCCCATCCACCCACACACACAGAGGTTTGAAATTGGACTTCATGATTAATAATGAGATTGTACACCATTTCATATATTTATTGGTTATTAAGATTTCTTCTTTTGTGCCTGTTCAAATATTTTAACTTTTTGCCCCTGGATTATCTCTTGTTGATTCATAGGGTTTCTTTATATAATCTGGATAGGAGTTCTTCATTGATATTTTTCCATTTAGATTGTTTTATCATTTCCTTTAAGGTGGTTTTATGAATAGAAATCCTAACTTTAATGCAAAGTTATCAATTTTTTTTTCTTTGTGGTTAGTGCTTTTTGTGTTTCTGGAAATTCTTTCTTGGGCACCTGGTGGTTCAGTCATTGAGGTGTCTGCCTTTGGCTCAGGTTGTGATCTGGGGTCCTGGGATTGAGCCCCAGGTCAGGCTCCCTGTTCAGTGGGGAGTCTGCTTGTCCTTCTCCCTCTGTTCCTCCCCCTGCTCGTGCTGTCTCTCTTTCTTTCTCTCTCTCAAATTAATAAATAAAATCTTTATTTTTTACTACTTATTTATTTTAAAGATTCTATTTATTTATTTCACTCTCTGTTAAATAAATTTTGAGAGAGTCAGATAAACACAAGCAGGGGGAGTGGGAGAGGGAGAAGCAGGCTTCCCCCAGAGCAGGGAGCTTGACGCGAGCCTGAAGCTACAAGTTTTGCTTTTTGGGGTTCTGGCTGGCCCAGTTGGTGGAGCATGTGACTTTGATCTCAGGGTTGTGAGTTTGAACCCCACATTGGGTGTGGAGATTACTTAAAAATAAAATTTTTTTTTTAAGATTTTTAAAAGATTTTTTTTATTTACTTGACAGAGATCACAAGTAGGCAGAGAGGCAAGCAGAGAGAGAGGGGGAAGCAGGCTCCCTGCTGAGCAGAGAGCCTAATGTGGGGCTTGATCTCAGGACCCCGAGATCATGACCTGAGCTGAAGGCAGAGGCTTAACCCACTGAGCCACCCAGTCGCCCCTTAAAAATAAAATCTTAAAATTTCCCATTTATATATTTAATCCACCTGTAACTGGCTTTTGTGTACAATGTAAAGTGGGGCCCAGATTTTCCCCACTTACGAATTTTTTCCTAGCTTTCTCAGTACCATATATTAGTTCACTGTTCCCATTTCAGATATATCCAAATATATATAAATCCAGTATCTATATATAAGTGGGTATGTTCATGAGCTCTTTGTTCTGTTGTTTTAAAACAGTATCACAGTCTTGATTATTCTAGTTTTGTTGTCCTTTAAAAGTATTTTGGATTTTCTTCCTGTGGCTGTGTTTAAGACTTTCTCCCAGTTTTTGATTTTCTGTAATTTTAATATAATGTGTCTAAGTGTGCCCTTTAAAAATTTTATATGCTTGGGATTTGTAGAGTTTTTTCAGTTTGTAGGTAGGTGTTTTTTATTAGTTTAGTAGGGAACTCCTGAGCCATCTTCAAAGATTGCCCCTGCTTTATTCTCCCCCTCTCTCCTCTCCCCTCTCAGGCTCTAATTAAACATAGGTTAGAATTTCTTATCTTAATCTTTTTGGTTTTTAAAGTTGATACACTAGGTAGGTCTACTCTCAATTTTTTATTTTTATTTTTTAAAGATTATTTATTTATTTATTTATTTGACAGACAGAGATCACAAGTAGGCAGAGAGGCAGGCAGAGAGAGGAAAGGAAGCAGGCTCCTCCCTGCTGAGCAGAGAGCTCGATGCGGGGCTCGATCCCAGGACCCTGGGATCATGACCTGAGCCGAAGGCAGAGGCTTTAACCCACTGAGCCACCCAGGCACCCCTACTCTCAATTTTTAAAATGTGGGTATTTGGTACAGAGGCAAAGGAAATCACGTTAAGAATCAGTCACCCCAAATCTATTGAGCTTAAGACCTTTCTGAGTTTCTTTAGAAGATGGCTGAGTATTTCCAATCCAGTCTTCTGTGCCAAAACCCAGAATATCTGGTTCTTCTCCCATCGGCCTCTAATTACACTTGCCATTTCTGTAGTGAAGATTGTTGCCCAATATTAACGGGAATAATGCTAGGAGGTTAGTATAATATAGTAGAAAATTAAAGGAATGCATTGAATTTTGTTCTCAGAAGCTAATCAGATGTTTGTTTTTTGTTTTTTGTTTTTTAAAGATTTTATTTTTAAGTAATCTCTACATCCAACATAGGGCTTGAACCTGCAAACCACAAGATCAGAAGTTTCATGTCCTACCAACTGAGCCAGCCTGGCACCGCCCCCTGCCCCTTTTTTTAACCTAATGTTTAATCAGGAAATATTTGAAGCATAATAAAATCAGAAAAAGCACAAGAATACATGCCATCACCAATGTTATTTAACATCATTGCATTGGTATTAACCAAAGCACTTAGCCAAGAGAAAAAAGTTGGTTAAAAATTAGAAAAGAGAATATAAGATAATCGCTTTGCAGATGATATGAATGTGTACCTGAAAACCAAATCAGTGTATAACTAGCACTTTGAAATAAGCAGGCCTCCATAGGAAGCAAGTAAAATAAATTAGTTTTCTTATTTTCTACTTTCAGCTCTCTCTGTGGGCTGATTTTTTTATTGCCCTGGATAAAATAACTTGTGCAGTTTCTGTACTTGTTTTGATCACTCTTTGGTATCCTTTGGTTATTTTCAGTGATAAAGGTCAGTCTCATTCTACTAATTACAATCTCTAGTTGAATATAATAATATGTAAGCTTCATTTAAAGCTTTTTCTTTGAGTTCGGGGTTGCTGTAAGCTAGAAGCTTACAGTATGAAAAGGGGGATACACTAAACTTTTTCATTTCTTTAGCCTAAATTTCTCTTCTCCCACCCAATAGGCTGTTTGTGGCTCCTATGAGATTGCAGCAGGTAGGAAAGAGGAGGTAAGGAGAAAAGTCTTACTTGACTGGTGCTGTTGTTTTGGTCTTGGTCTCTCTTAGTTTTGTGGATGTTCAGCACTGACTCATTTTCTTATGTGGTGCTTTTTTAGGATTCTCAGAGAATTCCCTGCGGGAAGCTTCTAATTGTATGTGATGTGGGCAAAACATCTCCTTGAAATTGCTACTTATTTTTTAAAAGATTTTATTTCTTTATTTTAGAGATGGAGGGAGGGGAAGAGCAGAAGGAGAGGGACAAGCCGACTTGGTGCTGAGCACAGAGCCCAATGCGGGATTCGATCCCACAACCCTGAGATCATGACCTGAGCCAAAATCAAGAGTCATGCGATTAACTGATTGAGCTACCAAGGTGCCCCTGAAATGTCTACTTACAATACCTGTCTTACACTTGGGGATTCTGTGCTTTGCTGCTTTGTTAGGAATCATATTGTCCTTCTGTTGGGTCCATATCTGGTCCAAAAAGGGGACTGGATACCAGTTTCTGTGCCCTCTAAACTTCAGGAAACACAGCAAAAATTCTCCTAAATAATCTCATCATTTTACTTTGGACCTTGGAGTCTAAGATGAAGAAAGAACCTAATTTTTCCTATGGGATGGAAAATGTGTGTCATTTTTCAGCAACCAGTTTTTGGACACCAACTGAGTGTCCTGCAATATAATTCAATTCTGACACTAATTACTCAGAGTTAACACACAGCACCACAGGTTTAGTGGGCTTAGCCTTACAAGACTGCCCTATTTGAGACAGCATCTCCAAGCCTTGGGTAGCCCCATGGCGCTGCACTTTTGCCCAGCAGACCACAAACTGAGGTATTCCCATGATCCCTACTCAGGTATAGTAATTGATTAGAATGACTTATAGACCTCAGGAAAGTACTGTATTTAATCATAGTTTTACTATAAAGAATGCAATTCAGGAACAGCAAAATGGTAGAGATGCAAAGGGCAAGGTATGAGAGGGAGGACCATATCTGGAAAGGTTCTTAAGGATTTTGCCTAACAAAATGGCTGAAGTGAAAGGTTTCCTTTGGTAATGTTTATATTGTAGAAAATTCTGCCACCAGCAAAATTATAGAAATTAAAGAATTTATGTTAATAAGGAATAATTCTTATAACAGTCATAAGAGAAGTGTAACTTTCAAGAAATTTAAATTATATTCTTGTCTAAGATGGTGATATTTTATTTATTTTTCAAAGATTTATGTATTTATTAGAGAGCTTGAGCAGGAGGGACAGAGGGAGAGAGAGAGGGGATCTGAAGCAGATTCTATGCTGAGCATGGAGCCCAATGTGGGGCTCTATCTCACAACTCTGAAATCATGACCTGAGCTGAAACCAAGAGTTGGACACTTAGCTTACTATGCCACTTAGGCACCCCAATAGTGATATTTTAAATTAATGTTTAGCCAGTTTTGCATTCAAAAAAATTCAAGAAATTTTAAGACTTAATAAAAAATATCAGGACTTTGTCCCAGTACCCAATCCTACTCCCCTCAGGTGGCTACCTTCAGATTTTTTCCTGTTTCTCTTGGTACTTTTCCTACATTTCTTTTGTTTTGTTTTTAATTTTTAAGTAATCTCTATAGCCAATTTGGGGCTCATACTCCCAACCACGTGATCAAGAGTTGCTCATTCCACGCTGAGTCAGCCAGGTGTCCTTTTCCCTATATTTCTTTCTTCTTTTCTTTTTCTTTCTTTCTTTCTTTTTTTTTTTTTTTTAAGATTTTATTTATTTATTTGAGAGAGAGAGAGTATGAGTGGGGTCAGGAGCAGATGGAGAGGAAGAGGGAGAAGCAGAGTCCCCACCAAACAGGCAGGTCGATGTGGGCCTTGATCCCAGGACCCTGAGATCATGATCTGAGTTAAAGGTAGATGCCTAACTGAGCCACCTAGGTACCCCCTTTTCCCTGTATTTCTAATTCATATTCCTACATTGCTGTTTTTTTAAAGATATGCTGTTTATTTATTTGGATGGAGTAGGACAGAGGGAGAGGGAGAGAGAGAGTATCTGAAGCAGGCCCCACACATAGCACAGAGCTTGACACTGGGCTGGATCTCACATCTCTGAGCCAAAATCAAGAATCAAATACTTAACTGACTGAGCCACCCAGGCACCCCCATTGCTATTCTTTTTATAGACATTTCTTGGTGACTTTCTTGAGGTAAATAAGGGTTGAGATTTCCCTTATCACATTTCTCGCTTCCTGTTCCTGTAGAAGAATTATATCACAATTTTCTTTAAATCATTGATACTCATGTAATTAGGACCTCACAGATATTATTAATCTGAGTAGTACACCAGAGCCTAAATTCTTTTCAGTACAGCTTTTACAATTTTCTGAGGGTAAATGACTTTGTTTCTTCATTTGTCTTTTTCCATATATGTGTTGCTCTTTTTTTCCCCAAATCTACCAACGTTGCTTCCAGTTGCCTATCAAAAATATTTTCCGTATGATCAAACTTACTAGGTCTTTATTTTTCCTTGGAGACCTCTTTCCCATAGTCCTTTATCTTCTTGTTCCTAGACATTGCTCTCTAGTTCTGCCAGATATTATCCTGGAACTTGCCTTTCACAGTTACACTTGGGATCTTGTCATGTATTCTCATGTTAGTTTTGTAATTTCTGAATATAGTATCTTTCTTTTTCTTAATTTACTCCCTACTTTTGAAGGAGCATGTAGGCCAGGAGTTTCTTTTCTTTTTTTTTTTTTTTTAAGATTTTCTTTTTTTTTTATTTGACAGATCACAAGTAGGCAGAGAGGGAGGCAGAGAGAGAGGAGGAAGCACGCTACCTGCTGAGCAGAGAGCTCCACGCGGGGCTCGAGCCCAGGACCCTGGGACCATGACCTGAGCCCAAGGCAGAGGCTTAACCCCCTGAGCCACCCAGGTGCCCCCAGGAGTTTCTTTTAAAAGCTACTCAGAGGGTTGCCTGGCTGGCTCGGTGGGTTGGGCCTCTGCCTTCGGCTTGGGTCATGGTCTTGGAGTCCTGGGATTGGGCCCGTGTCGGGCTCTCTGCTTGGTGGGGGGCCTGCTTCCCCCCCCAACTCCCTGCCTGCTTCTATGCCTACTTGTGATCTCTCTCTCTGTCAAATAAATTTAAAAAAAATCTTAAAAAAAAAAAAAAAGCTACTGAGAGATAATTTTATCTTTCCCTGCAGATCTAGAAGTATCTGACTTAATCTTCACACCAGTTTGTTTTTAATCTCGCTCGGTATATAATCTTCACACTAGCTTTGACTGGGTATAGAATTCTAGGCCAGAATTCATTTTCATTTGTAATGTTAAAGGAATCACTTTTTTTTTCTTTAGGTGGAGCTGTTGAAAAGTCCACTGCGATTTTAATTCCTAAAAATTTTTATGTGATCTATGTTTTCTTTCTGCAAGCTTTTAGAAAGTTCTGTTTTTCCTTGATATTCTGAAATTTTACTCCAAAATGTATCATAAGATTTTTTTTTTTAAGTACATCACCTTGTTCCCTCTTTTGGGTCTTAAAGGAAAGATATGGGAAGGGGGAAAGGATTCACATATATGCACACTTCACTATAGCCAGGCATCGAGCATTGAGCTGTATGATTGCTATTTTATGTTGTAGGAAAAGTTTACTTGCATGTTTCTTGATATATCCCTCTGTACACAAAAGATGTGTTTTCTACTGATATAATAGAGTTCCAGTCCCTTCAGTTTGTTTAATAAGCTCTAGCACCATTTCTACTACCATCTTTTTTCTTTTTAAGATTTTATTTATTTATTTGAGAGAGCGAGCTCACACACAATCACGGGGAGCGGCAGGCAGAGGCAAAGGGAAAAGCAGGCTCCCCCACAGAGCAGAGAGCGTGATGTAAGGGTTGATCCTAGGACCCTGGAATCAAGATCTGAGCTGAAGGCAGACACTTAACTGACTGAGCTACCCAAGGGGCCCCCCCACCTCATTTTTTTTTTTTTTTTTTTTTCCTTTAATCTCCTTCTACTGTGAAAGCATGTTTGTTGTTTCAGGGGTCAATGATGTTCAGGGATGTATCTATAAACTTCTCTCAGGAGGAATGGGAATGCCTGGATTCTGGTCAGATGAATTTATACAAAGAAGTGATGTTGGAGAATTTCAGCAACCTGGTTTCAGTGGGTAAGGATAACTATCCCCCAAAATTCAGAGTCTGCCCTTCGGAATGTCTCCTTTCTCCATTATGAATTATTTGTTTCAAGTAACCAGCTAAATTTCTGCTCCCTGTTCCTCAAGGAATGGTTTGAGTTGGAATGGAATGGAATGGAAGAATTGGAAATGAGCACCTTCAGTGGGTTGAAGCTTCATCTTCATCTTTCTCTGGTCCTTCCTATAGTGGCATCTTTTTCTTGATCACCAAGGGACTGCATCTGATTTCTGGGACACCCACAGCATAACAATGTCCCGTGTCTTTTCTTGTGATCAGGACTTTCCAATTCTAAGCCAGCTGTGATTTCCTTATTGGAACAAGGAAAAGAACCCTGGATGGTTGAAAGAGAGCTGACAAGAGGCCTTTGTTCAGGTGAGATGATAGGTAATGATTTTGTCCATTTTTTAATTGGGTTGTTTGTCTTATTATTACTGAGTTTTGAGTTAATTATATATTCTAGACACAAGTCTCTTTTTTTTTTTTTTAAAGATTTTATTTATTTATTTGACAGACAGAGATCACAAGTAGATGGAGAGGCAGGCAGAGAGAGAGAGAGAGGGAAGCAGGCTCCCTGCTGAGCAGAGAGCCCGATGCAGGACTTGATCCCAGGACCCTGAGATCATGACCTGAGCCGAAGGCAGCGGCTTAACCCACTGAGCCACCCAGGCGCCCTAGACACAAGTCTCTTATCAATCATATGATTTGCGAGTATTTTCTCCCATTTAGTAGGTATGTTTTCACCCTCTTGATTTTGTCCTTTGAAGCACAAATTTTTAAATTTAACGAGAACCAGTTTATCTATTTTTTCTTTGGTTGCGTGTGCTTTTGGTGTGAGCTCCTTTAAGTTATGACCCTTCATAATTAAGTTTATTAATACCTTCTGGAAGTAGGAAAATATTTCACACTTATCCTATTAGTAGATAAAGGATTTTTATCAGTTATATCTCAAAAAAAAGTTTGAAGATAAAACAATAAAAAAAGCTTTTCTCAACTGTAGATACAACTTTAATTTTATAATTTAGCCATAAGATAGAATAAACAAAGAACTAAAGAACTCACCAAAGCAGATTTCCCAAGATATATTTTCTTTTCCAGGAGGCACAAAATATTATAAACAGACCCACAGGAAGATAATAAATTCTCTGTCATCTCAGTTAACAGAGAATGAAGGGATTCCCAGACAACTGGAACAGATTTCCATTATCCCTATAGAAATTACCATAAAATCGGGGCGCCTTTGTGGCTCAGTGTGTTAAAGCCTCTGCCTTCTGCTCAGGTTATGATCTCAGGGTCCTGGGATCAAGCCCCACATCGGGTTCTCTGCTCGGCGGGGAGCCTGCTTCCTCCTCTCTCTCTGCCTCCCTCTCTGCCTACTTGTGATCTCTGTCAAATAAATAAATAAAATCTTAAAAAAAAAAAAAGAAATTACCATAAAATCAGATTCCTGATCACTATAACTTACCAGCCTTGCACAAACCAGAAGCAAAACTAGACTTAACCCAAAAACAAAACCTAAGATGCGTTGAGGAGGGTGTAGTGGAGAGAAAGTGAATTAAAGTAGCATTTTATTGCTGCTTGGGATTTACTAAGGCAGCCAAGAAGAAAATGGGCCTTAAATAGCCCATGAGATACACTTCTCAAGTCACACTTTATTGCCTCCTGCAAATAAGTCCATTTGGACATCTCAGTGGGACCTTCAGAATTGTCAAGAGTATAACATTTTCAAAACATTTCAAAAATAATTATTCAAAAATTAAAGATCATTCTTCTAAATATATGATAAGCACATTTGAAAGATTTATTTAGCTCACTAATGAGAGAACCAGAGGAATGGTAAAGCTGGTTCAAGTTGTCTGGGAGAGTTGTCTGAGTTTATATTATAATTATATACATATATATATATGTAATTATATTACAGTGCAGGAATCACATCACTAACGTGGATACAAAAACTAGTTACTGTCTTAGAGAATAAAAATTTGTAACCTTCAGGCTGTCTTTCCACCAGACAAATCATTTATAACTTGTTCTTCATAGCAATTTTTCGTTCTTTGTTCAGTTACTTTCTAGATTTTTCAAGTAGATTGTAAGCATCTACAATTTCTAATTGGTATTGTTGGTACAGAGAAATACTATAAGCTTTTTTTTTTTTTAAACATGTGGAAAGTTTAATTTTATTATCAGGGAAATGCAGTGGAATACCATTATGTCATCTGTAACATGGACAAAAATTTAAGTCTGACATTAGTAAGAATAGATGACAATGTAGAACAGCACCTTCAAGCCTCTGTTAGGGTGTAAATTCATACAATTGCTTTTTATTCTTTTTAAATTTAATTGTGAAGGGCACCTGGATGGGTCAATTGGTTGAGCATCTGCCTTTGACTTAGGTCGTGATCTCAGGATCCTGGGATCAAGCCCCATGTCCAGCTCCTTGCTTGTCAGGGAGTCTGCTGCTTCCTCTTCCTCTGCCCTTTCCCTCTGCTTGTGCTTGCTGTCTCTCTCTCTGTCTCTTTCAGATAAATAAAATCTTTAAAAAAAATTTAATTGTGATAAGATCATTTAACATGAGATCTACCCTCAACAATTTTTTTTTTTTAAGATTTTATTTATTTATTTGTCAGAGAGAGAGAGAGGGAGAGCGAGCGAGCACAGGCAGACAGAATGGCAGGCAGAGGCAGAGGGAGAAGCAGGCTCCCTGACGAGCAAGGAGCCCGATGTGGGACTCGATCCCAGGACACTGGGATCATGACCTGAGCCGAAGGCAGCTGCTTAACCAACTGAGCCACCCAGGCGTCCCAACCCTCAACAAATTTTTAAGTGTATAATAAATATTGTTAACTTTAGGCGCCGTATTGTATGGCAGATCTCTAGCACTTATTTGCCTTGCATAATTAAAGCTTTATACTTACTGGTTAGCAACTGCTCGTTTCCTTATAACCCCAGCCCTTGGTAACCAACTACTCTTGGTAACTACTCTTTTGTTCTGTGAGTTTTGCCCTTTTTAGATATCTCATATAAGTCAAATAATGCTGTATTTGTCCTATAACTGGTTTATTTCATGTAGCTTAGTGTCTTCATGTTGTTTCATATGGAAGGATTTCCTTCTTTTTAAGGTTGAAAAATATTCCATTATAAATATATAACACATTTTGTTTATCCACTCATCCATCTGTGGATTTAGGTTGTTTTCACATCTTGACTATTATGAGTAGTACTGCAATGAACGCATAAGTGCTAATATCTCTTCAAGATCCTGATTTCAAACGGGGTGCCTGGCTGGCTCAGTGGGGAAGGCCTCTGCCTTCGGCTCAGGTCATGATCTCAGGGTCCTGGGATTGAGCCCCGCATCGAGCCCTGCATCAGGCTCTCTTGCTCAGCAGGGAGCCCGCTTCCCCCTCTCTCTTTGCCTGCCTCTCTGCCTACTTGTGATCTCTCTGTCAAATAAATAAATAAAATCTTAAAAAAAGAAAAAAGATCCTGATTTCAATTCTTTTGGATAAATACCCAGAAGTGGGATTGATGGATCATATGATAGTTCTATTGTTAATTTTTTAGGAACCTCCTCATACTGTTTTCAGAGGGTTGCACCATTTTGCATTTCCACCAATAGTATACAAGAGTTCCAATATCTTTGCGTCTTCACCAGTATTTGTGACTTGTTTTTTTGTTTGTTTGTTTTAATGACAGCCATCCTAAAAGTAATAGGCAGTGTTTCTTCATGGTTTTGATTTATGCTTCTGTAATGATTTGAGATTTTTGAGCAACTTTCATATACTTCTTGACCATTTATACATTTTCTTTGGAAAAACGTCTACTCACGTTCTCAACTTATATTTTAATCAGATTAGTTCTTTTGCTATATATTTTAGAAATTAACCACTATCAGATACATGGTTGGCAAATATTTTCTCCCATTCCATAAGTACCTTTTCACACTTTTGTTTCCTTTGCTGTGCACAAGCTTTTAAATTTGATGTAGTCCTGTATGTCTGTTTGCTTTTTTTGTCTCGCTTTTGGTGTCATATCCTGAAATCATCAATAAGACCAGTGTCATGAAACTTTTCCCTTATGTGAAGCATTATAGTGTCAGGTCTCATGTTTAAGTCTTTAATACATTTTGAGGTGGTTTTTCTGTATGGGATAGGATAAAGGCCAAATTTTGCATATGGATGTTCAGTTTTCCCATCATCATTTGTTAAAGAAACTTTCCTTTTTCTGTTATGTAGTCTTGGCATCTTTGTTGCATATTAATTGACTGTGTATATATGAATTTATTTGTTCTCTTCTGTTCTGTTGACTTATATGTATGTCTTTGTGCCAGTACCATACTGTTTTAATTACTGCTGCTTTATATTTTGAAATCAGGAAATGTGAAGCCTCTAACTTTGTTGTACTTTCTGAAGATTATTTTGGCTCATTGGATTTTTTTTTCTATTTCTATAGAAAATGCTATTGGGATTTTGATAGGGATTGCATTGAATCAGTAGATTGTTTTGGGGGTATGGACATTTTCACAATATTTTTCTTTTTTTTTTAAATTTTTAAAATTATTTTCAGCATAATAGTATTCATTGTTTTTGCACCACACCCAGTACAATATTCTTCTAATCCACGAACACAGAATAGCTGTCCATTATCTTGTGTATCTTTAATTTCTTCATCAGTGTTTTGCAGTTTTCATTGTACAAGTCTCTTACCTCATCGGTTATGTGTGTTCCTAAATAGTCCTTTTCCTTTTGATGCTATTATAAATGAGATTGTTTTTCTCATTTCTTTTTCAGGTTATTGTCAGTGTAAAGAAACAACTAATTTTTATATATTGATTTTGTGTCCTGAAACTGCAAACTGAAACCCTAACTTAATGGTTTATTAGTTCTAACAGTTTTTATGTGAAGTCTTTAGAGTTTTCTGTATACCAGATATAGAAGTGGCAAGAGTGGGTGTTTTTCCTTCATGATCTTAGAGGGAGAGTTTTCAATTTTTCATCAAGTATGATATTAGTTGTGCACTTTTTATATGTGGCCTTTATTATGTTAAGATAATGTCCATGTTATTAGTTTATTGAGGGTTTTTCATCCTGAAAAGGTGTTGAATTTTATCAAATGCTTTTTCTGCATCTGTTGAGATGATCATGTAATTTTTATCCTTCATTCTCTCTTTTTTTTAAAGATTTTTATTTGTTTATTTGAGAGACAGAGCACAAATGGGGAAAGAGGGAGAGAGAAAAGCAGAGTCCCCACTGAGCAAGGAGCCAGACGCAGGAGCTCAATCCCAGGACCCTGAGATCATGACTGGAGCCAGAGTTAGACACTTAACCTACTGAACCACCTAAGCACTCCAATCTTTCATTCTCTTAATGTGGTGTATCA